GATTGACATTTTCTAATTGAATATATACAGCACCACGAGAAATTTCAACGTTAGTTAATTATATATACATCAATCGCGAATGCACACGGTTTTCCTGTTGCAAGCTGCACGGAAATGTCGCGTTATTTCGCACATCACCGTTACCAATAATTTAAGGCCAGCTTACATAATGCCGCCACTATTAATTTCGGCATTTCACATGTTAAATGTCGCGCCAGTTTTCACAATCGTGATCCAGATTTCTTGAAGCTTCACGTCTAAGTTAATTTCGATGCTTGAAATCGGTTAAAGAGGTTAAATTGGCTTGTTTAAGCGCCAGTCTCCCATTTATTTATATTAACCTCGCAATTTCTGTTTAATGTATCCTAACTGAAAAATTTCACGTCATTTTAAAACCAATCATGTCTTCTTCTAACCTTTTATAACATAAAAAACGAAATTGTTAATAAATATCACATTAATTTAACATAACCTGTATGGAGAATACGTATTTGAAATAGGGCTAAAAGAAAATTGTGTAACGTATTCATTCCTCGCCCACTAGACAGTGGACTCTGTTTTCCGAACGAATAATCTGCTTTGCACCGGCACAGAATAATGAAATTAAATAGCCAACTCACGTGCACGAAATTCCAAGTTCGAGACTCATTAACGCCTATACGCCGTATAATTTTAAGCGCACAACTAAAGACGAGCACATTCAGATTTCCACAGCGAGAATAGCAATGTTACCGAGAACAAACTGTCAGCCAGAGATAGCGATCGTGTATGTACATCGACAATAGATCGAGTCTTTATTTATAAGTAATTTTTCGGAGTCTACGCCAATGTGAAAGTAGCCCACCAGGTGTTAAACACGCCACTAACGTTCCCAGAGCAAAGTACGAATTCCCTCGAAACATTTCTCTCTCAACAAAAAAATATCGAAAGCTACGCTTGGAAAGAACTAAAATAACCTCAAAGTTTGTTTAAGAATTTTTTTTTATAGTGAAACATAAAATGCTCACTTTTCTAAATTTCGTGGAAAACTATTTAGGTTCTTATTCTGCACACTTAAAACTATCCATTAATGGAGAAAGATTCAAGTGTTTGATTCTCAGATAGCACAATGTACTCCCATGATGCACCATTCAAATATGGCGTATTCAAATGACTCCTCTTCGAACATATATTTCACGTTCATTGACTAGCCGGATATTTATTGCGCGACGCGTTGCGTTCGAAGCGGTTTTGACGAGCGGTCGATGATGTCGCGAGGTCGTCCACAGCGGGGCGCCACATTCTCAATTCATAAGGTTGAACGTCGTGGCGACGAGAATAGCAAAGAAACGGGCGCGGATCCAGAGAGCACTGACCCAGTATGTCCGTCCGTCGTCGTCGTCGATTTCACGACGACTTCGTGTTCTCCTGCTACGTTGTTCTGTTCCCTATGATGAACACACACCGTGTACAGAGACGATATTTCATTATGTTTCCGCATGTATTGTTTGACATATGGCGTCCACGGTGGCTGTTCGTCGATTGAATTTTACTTCGCCTTGTCGTGTAATTAATACACAGAGTTCGTCGTAGTGCCTTCACGACCGGTGCACGTTGCGCGCTTGTATTGGTTATGAACGCGGCATCCCGCTATGCCTTACGAACTTAACCTCGAAACTCGAGCACTTCGAACTATTTGACGAGATATCACACGTTCCTTTTTTTCGCTCCTTTGTTTATTTTTAGTCGGGAAATGGGATGGAACAGAGTGATGAGAGGAGTTGAATGTTTTTAGGATGTTGGAAAGGGGGTTTGTTTTATATATGTAGAGGAAATTTTACTGGTCAAAGGTTACTACATACTTCTTTCACGATTCTTCGATACTCGAGTTACTTAACCTGACGTCTTATGACTGACTTTTGGCAGATTTCCATTAAAAAGAAGATTAATCATATTTATTATATATAAAGATATTATTTTATGCTAAGAATGTAACTAAATATTGCAAGTAGTGATTATATTCTTATACTTGTTAAAACGTGTATCGTATGAAATATTCTTACGAATACTGATAGTTTCACGTTACCGACTTCCTCGAAATTAACTTCGCGTGAAGTAAATTTTCTTGGAATTATTAGTCTCAGCATTGGTACCCTTTGAGGATGCGACTTATTGTATCTATATATTTCGGGCGTAATTGGCAGAGACTAACGAGGGACATAGAAACGCAAATTTTATCTCAAATCTATCTCGAACACACATTTGCAAGAAATGTTATAAAGAATAGTACGGTGCTAAATATCCATCGTGATCTAACACCCGGTTGTCGAGCACTTAGCCTCCGTTGTCACGTGTTCAATGTTGTGATGGAAATTTACGGGTAATGTGTAATCTGACCCATTCTCTTATTCTTCCCTCACACATGTTACATTCTTTTCTCTACATCCTTTTACCTCTCTTGAACATTCTGATATACTTCGGTACCTTTCTTTCTTCGTCATTCCTAACCTCTTTCCACCCTTCTCTTTCTTCCAATATTTTTTTCTTCCACGCCCTTTCGTCATTATTCATTTTTCTTATTCCACTCTCTCTGTAATCCTCTTTTCACAGTTTTCCTCTCTTTTCCTCTTTCACAATTTTTGCTCCACCAGCATATTCTCTCCTCTCGGCTATTCCCGCGACATGTGCTAGCGCGTAACACGAGTCGACGGTTATTTTTTCAGCGGTTGCTCCGGAGAAATTTATATCCCGTCGGGGCGTTTTATATCGCGGCTCGCTACCAGGAATTCCCGTGGTGCCTTGCTCGTGCCTTTCCCTCACTCCTCCACCCTATCTGTATTCGTTTCACCGCACTGACGGATCTCTTTTCTTGTATATTCGCTGGTATATGTACAACGGCGTCTGGTGCTCGCGGTGAGAAAGAGAGGATCCGGTGAGTTTTCGCGGACGGAAACCGTCGTAAGCTCGTTGGCCGGACGCCGAGTCGTAAACGAGCGCCTCGAATATTTCCCCGTCGATCGCGTTCTCCTTCCCCTTTTTCACAGTATATAACCGCGTCACGTTGCATCGTTTCGCGATACACCGCGATATTCCGCGAACGTGGTGCTATTTCTTATGGAGAATGGCAGACTGCGCTGCGGGAGCTGTGATGACTGTTGATTTGGATATATGTGACTCGTTGTGCTTTTTTTTTTCTTTTTAGGTTAGATTGGTTTCATGTGTAGGGCATGGTATTTGGTGTATGTTTATGGTTCGGTTGTTTTATGGGTAAAGTAGGTTTCTGCGTGGTTTTATTGACATGTTGTAGTTGATGGTTGTTATGTAGATCAGAGTGGACGTTTCGTGAGGTTATGTATGGAACAAGATCGTAAGATTTATGTACAAAATTTTCTTTCGTTCTGATAAATATTTTAAAAAACTTGCGGATATTTAAGAATTTATAAAAAGTATGTTCGGTGTGTTCTACGTTATTTTCTAAGCGAATAGAAAGTTAGAAATTTTCTTTCTTGTTTTTAATTTTGAAATATTGCGAATTTTATATAGCCTTGTTAAGTTAAGCAGATAGAATGTTCAATTTTGTTTATTAAAATATTTTATTGTAGCATTAGTAACTCACCAAAGTGCTTTTTCAACGAAAAATCATAATGCCTCAACATTATTACCCATATCTGATCACGTATACCTTTTATCGTGCAAAGCATACGATTAACATTCACGTGAAAGCGGTAGCAAGGCGGATGTTTGTCATCCCCAGAAAAAAATACGTTTTGTGTTTCTCGATTCGAGTTCGTGGAACCTTCGTGCGATATAATGGCTCGTTGCTGCATTTCTATCGAGAAAGTGGTCTGATCGAGTCACGATTTCGGTGTCTCCATTCTTTGCATGCTCGTGCTTAATATACCAGATTATAATGACAATTTCACCTTTACACTGCACTATTCAATTTTTTTATTCTCTTACATGCTGAGTTGATTTCTTTTATCATTTTTTAAAGTATAATTGCTTAACCTAACCTCTCACGGTACACACGTTACATGGAGAACATATTAAATAAAATATTTTTTAAAGTAATTCATTCCGTTTTAATGAATTTTTAATGGACTATTATAACTGTCACTCATATTCTGAATAAATATATTCATTTCACAAAATTATGCTCGAAAAATAGAACGAAACGAGCATTATCAGGGGATAATATGCGACTAAAAATAACCTGTCAGGAAGAAGCCATTAATTCTTAATGTTAAACAACCCCAAAACGACGCGTGCTTCTCGAGGACGCCATTACTATATATAGGAGACACCACTAATAAGAAGAAATAAAATTTGCCTGGTAAAGTTGCTTCGAAACGCGTCTCTGGCGAACTATAAATGTTGCTCACTATAAATACGTGGTTAAATCCTTCGGGGGTTGTAAATTTCAACCTCCTTACACGATATTCCTTAATAACTATGGCGGATCGTGAACTTCGATAGAATCGTTCCGTTTCGATCGTCCTATCGATATCGATATTTATCGATCCATTTTGACGTTTGATTTAGTTTATCGTTTTTCAAATATTTGCATGTTTCATGGTCATCTTTTAGATGAATATTGCAAAAATGTGTATATACCGGACGTTTCAAAAAGGATTTGCAAAACTTCGACATTCGTAAAATGATACTATAATATACTGGGTGGGTGTTTCAAAATTAATGTTAGAATGAATTTTAAAATATGATTATTAATTTTTTGAAATTACATTAAGTTAAGTTAGGTTTATTCACTTATTTAGGTAGCTTTTCAAATTCCAGTTGTGTAGATTAGGTTCAGTTTAGCTAGATTTTAGATAAATTCTAGATATGTTAGGTTAGGTTAGTTTATTTAACAACAATCAGTATTACTTTCACAAAAGCCATTGAAATACCTTTGAAACTTCTAAAATATTTTCTAATTTATCTATTCTTTTTCTTTTCTTTTATCTTTTAAATATTAGTTATACGTGGTGTATTGAAAAGTTCTCTGCCATTTTGTGTTTCAGGTGAATACCAGAAACGAGTGGGCATCGCTATGCGAACAATTCCATCTACCCAACGGCTGCGTGAACAGCGGGGTTGGCCTTAAACAAATTTACCTTAGGTAAGTGTCTAAGACGCGCTGTTATCATCAATCACCTTATTTTAGAAACTTGACACTCCGTACATCATTCAAGAAGCAGGTGATCCGTACACCTTTTTTACATGTATGTGTGTGAATAACTCTTGGATCTTGAATATTCTTGTACCACAATGTTGTATTAGATTCAATACTTTGTGACAAATTCAATAAGATTTCAGTTACTACTACATACATGTATATCCATGAGTGTTACGTAAATGTTATAACACTTGTATGGAGAATTTGTACATGAATGTATTTTTTTTTTGCAAAAAGATTGTGTCTACAAGTATGATGAAGAAATGAAGAAGACCCTTTGAAGATAAACTACATTTGTTGATATGATATATTCTGTTTCTCTGAGAATGTTACTGCCATATAAGTGTTCCCACTTTTTTTTAAGCACCCTGTATAAAGTCTTTTGCGTCTATAAATAATTAAGTAAGATTGTAGTGTATGTATTCATAAATAAATCAGTGGAAGCATATCACAGTAAGTAATATTCAAGAGTAAACGAGTTTGTAGTACTTACATGTTGCTGTAAGAAAATGAGTACAATCATAGTACATATGGCTATAAGCGTCATACAAGTTCATGAGTGTCCATGTGCCTATAAACAATGCTCCAAGTGATTTACACTTTCACGTGGAATCTTGTATTTCTGGATTGAATAAAAAGTCTCCTTATATCAATTTTTAGAATATAATGTGTAGTCTTATAGTAATTTCCACATGTAGAGCCAATTATAAATCTTTTTCATGTGTTGAGAATGAAATAAAATTTAGAGAATGGAATTATTTTAAATTAGTTAGAAATAATGATTGTTCACAATTACTTAGAAATTATAATTATTCAAAATTTCTTAGAAATTATACTTGTTTAAAATTAGAAATTTTTAACAAATTGTGGACTTAATGGCTCAATGTATAATTATCTAGTTGGGTCTTTAGAAATGTTCTTTTATTACATTCTTCAAAAGTAATTCAATTTGGTTACCCCCGCCCACAATGAATTAGATTCTCAAATTAAATACAAAGGGTTCATTTAAGAAGCAACCGAATCGAGACGACGTTAAACATTCTGTGACGTGTATAACGTTATAAATTTAGCGCTGTTGCGTTACTTTATAATTGCCCCATTTACTTAAAACATTCAAAATGTTCTTCAACATGTGGGTAGAGAATGTGCAGCTTTTCTTGGACCAGGCGGTTCATATTGGAACTTGTAGTTGCTGGTTGATACTTATCTCTAGTATCTTCTCTTCCAATCTTACACTGCTGTGTATTTCTTGGTCCATTAATCATGATTCTCTTCAAATAATATGGCTTGTTGAATAATTCTTTCAGATAATAAGATAACTTCCAATAGAAAGTTGAAAAATGTATTGGTCTGTTATTGATGGATATAATTATATTCCTGGACATGTTTTAGACTATTTTCTTTGAAAGAAAGAAAGAAAAAGGGAAAGACAAGAAATATTGCAAAATAATGTGATCTAAAATTCTCTGCTCTCATATAAATCACTTTCAAGACATCTTGCATTCTACAGGCTACTTCAAAAAAAAAAATGTCAGCACTTACATAGAAGTGATTGTACAAATACAAATACATGTGTAAATTGTTTACATAAGTGTTAACAGTTTTTGGAAGCATCCTGTATATTCTACAAAATACATAAAAGTACATCACACTTTCAAAACTTTGTTAGAAACTCTTACCTCTCTTTTCTATAAGAAATCACCTTTTGTCTAGTTTCACTATTACTGAAACACCCTGTATAAACTTATCCAAGCAACCGTATGATCACACTGGAAAAACCAACACACTGCTATTCTACAATTTCGATTCATTTTTCCATAAGAAATCACCTTTTGTCTAGTTTCACCATTACTGAGACGCCCTGTATAAAATTAGCGAAACAACCCTATGATCACACATTAGAACGGCCGTAGAGGAAAGCGTTTGGCGGGAAATGGTGGATGTGCGGGGCGTCTGCAAGAGAGTAGGAGAGCGGCGCGGCGACGTTTCGCCGGCACGGGCCGCCCGGCAGGCACCGCGTATCGGCTCTCTCTGCTACCTCTACGCCCCACCACACCACACACCAGCCAGCATTTTCCGTATCGTATAGTACTATACGTACGTTCGCGTTCGTTCGTTCCGTTCATTCATACTGGCCTCGAGCTGACGAGCACCCACGTGGTTCCTGAGTCGGTGTCCTCTCTCTCCGGTTAAGCTCTCTCCGCTGCAACCTTGTTACCGTCGTGCGCCGCTTGCAAACAAGCAACACGCCGGTCGATTGTACGCCACGACACGTTTGACGTTTCGCTCGCCAGCGACGTCTTCGATCATCCCATGATATACAAAAGAGGGGGGCACTATGAGTATATCAGAGATTTAGTATGGATTTTTAGGGATACCGGTCGTCAAGGATCGATTTTTTGCTCTTGGGTAGCTTCGTGTGTGGTTGTATAGTGTAACTTGATACGGTTAACCTTTTAGCAGTTTGACAGCAGCGTCAGCCATGTTTGAATGGCGCGCCATTATTCAGTATGGCGTCGCTCATAGACACGAGTGGACAGTTCGATTTTCATGAAATAATTTTGTTAAATATACAGAAGTGGAGAATTAATTACACTTTTTTCGTTCACGTAGCTTGGCTTGTTTATGGGACTTTGCTTTTTCTGTGCGTTTGTTTTACGAGATATTGACTCTCGTGAACAGTCAAAGTTTAAGTCTTATTTCGTTAATCTACCGTAGGCGGTGGTAATTATTGCCTTACACGATTTTACCGCTGTGCAGCCATTGATGGTTTATTTATAGCCACATCCGGTCAGGTTAGGTTTTGATTTTCTTCTGTGCATTATGAGTCGCTTCGTTTCTCACATAATGCGAGAAAATCGGTTGGCAGGTTAAAATAACACAGGTATTTCAAGTGCTTACACTTGGCGACGCGTGTTACGTAATTTGCTTAACTAAGGAAAGTATTGAATCACGCGCAATTTTAGGTACTGCTGGAATATTCTTGAAAAATATTCATTTCATATACTTTCTTTTTCTCCTTCTTTTTTTTTTTAAAGCTGCTCTTTACATTTATTCTTCTTATCTGGAGCATAAATCTTTAGATTTCAAATAACAATGGATCATCGGAGATACAAGCTATCTAAACGCGCATAAAGATAAGTATTCATAGGGTACTATATCTAGATCGTTTTGTTACCGGTAGGAGAAAATAAATTGCGCGGTTCGGTAAAATCCGCGCAGAGAGATGTAATCTTTTAACGTGAATTAAGTTGCGCAACTGCCGGCGTTATTCAAGCAGACCGTGTGTGTTACATGGGGATTTCCACGACTCTCTTTCTCCCTTCATCTTATGTTTTTATCAGTCGGTAAATCAGTCTTGGAGAATTATAGTTTCAAATATATAGTTGTTATAGTGTAAAATTGATCAAAGTACGATCATTGTAGTATAACAAAAATATCAAACAAATATATGATACATTATACCCTATACATTACGCTATACATTATTCTTGAAATACTACACTTTTAGTAGAATATAGTTGCAGAGTATTATATTCATGGATTGCTGCACTTGTAGCATACTATACACTCAGAATAGGATATTCGTCGTTACTATACACATGGGATTCTATATTTGCGAAATACTAATGAGAATTATTATAAATGCTATATTTTGTGAGAGTTGTGTGTTTCTAAACCATATTCGAGAGCTACTATACGAGTTTTCAAGCATTTCCGATGATCTGGCGAAAAAGTGTTTCGAACAAAATTTGATCAATTTTCAGTCGACTACAAGTTGCAGTAAAAAAATTTCCAAAGTTCTTTTTTTCCAATAAAAAGGCAAAGTCACTTTTATTGCTTACATGGCATTACATATTTTTGACTTCACGGTATTGTAACTGATGTCAACACGAGTTCAACCACTTGGTACACTGTGGCTGATTATCTCCAATCATTTCAAGGTGTCACAGGTGTTACGTGGGGACACCCTGTATATTATTCCCATAATTGATGAAATATAAAACGTTTAACACCCGTAATGAATAAATTAACAATTCTAACGAAGTAAATTACACACAAGGGTAAAAATAAATATTCACCCCAGGGGAGTATATATCTCTTTATTGTCACAAGTAACTTGTCACTTCTCGCAGAGTCACCTAACGGAGTTCAGTTGAATTCTATAAACGATAAAGCACACGGAAAGACGCACAACTCTGCGGTCTGTACTCAGGCATATTTATTATAGTTGCAAACTGCAAACAAATGTAAGAAGAAGAAAGATAAAAAACGGACGTTCACAGTCAGTCTCCTTGGCTAATTTAACATCGGTGAACGTAGCGCCTTCTCGACACCCACGCCTGAGATTTATCGATATACATAGAGGCCGTTTGTTTGAACAACTTCAAGCTTCTCATACTCCTGCATATATCGATTGATTAGCATCGAATGTCGAAGGTCGTATAACAGGTTATACTTTAACGTACTCTACACTGTACGCTACAATTAATATCTTGACCGTGTTTACGTTTCAAAATTAGTACAATTCAAATTAGAAAAAAAAAAGATGATTAAAACAGCAAGCTCCTCTTAATCATTTATTCGAAAAAACGTCGTATATACTTGTTGCCGTTAGAACTACTACACGCAGTGTTTACATTCGTACGCTAAACAAAAGGGGACAAGAACGCGTGCGCGTGTCACTCATTCTCCAGAATCTTTGACATGGTACGCAGAGCTTCCCGTCGGCGCCAGATCTGAAACGCGCGATTCATTCATAGGCGGGCCGATGCGATGCCGCGAGCCCGGGACACGTGATTCCTGTGCCTCGGACCTTACACTCACCAGTCTCGCAGCAGGCACCACCGCAGAGAGCCAGAGCCAGAGTCAGAGCTGACACATCAAGGCACGACACTAGTAGAATGTTTCCTACTATGTACTCCCGATCTATACGATACACAGAGTGGTTGCACGGACACGGGCCAGAGGCGCACAAGGCAGTAGTCAAAGTGTCTGGTGGTGCTCAGTGTGCAGCGAGCAACGGCCAATCAGGCTCTGGCTGGGTGCTCCAACGCCTGCACCTTCCGTACTCTACGTTGGTGCATGAATGGATCCACTACACCTACCCCCACCACTTTCTTTCGCCCACCCACGACACCGTCTCCTCTCCTCTCTCCCTCCCTCCCCCCTCTCTCTCGCTCATCTCTTCCGCTGGCTGTCTCTTTTCCTTGTATTATTATTATTATCTCTCTCTTGCTCGTTCTGCTTCTCACGTGTTCGAGGAGACCACCTCTCTCTCTCTCTCTCTCTCTCCCTCCCTGTCTCTCTCTCTGTCATTCTTGATCATCGTTGGTCTGTCGGTCTCGTAGCTGCCACCCCATTCACACGTGTCGCGATCACGAGTTCGTCGCACTGTGATGTCGACGTTCAGTCGAAAGGTCATACGTCTATCGCGATAGTCGAACGCCGATTAGTTGCACGTCGTAGATTCAGTTCGAAATCGACGCGTGGGGGCGCTGGTTTTAGCGGGATAAAGATGGTCGATGGCATGGGGGTCACCGGTAACGGACATTTGACGTGTCAGTGCTGACTGACAACTTCGAAATTTGTTGAAGTGTCTGCGATTAACTAAATGGTAATACTTGTAAATTTTTTGATATCGTTACATCAGCTACATGTCTCCCAAAGCACACTTGGCTACATATGTGGCATGTGATGCTCAAGTCCAAGATTATCTTTCAGATACAAGACTGATTAAGTTAATGTCAGATGTAGGTTATGTTATATTTCTATGTCGATTTTACTGTGATAGCTATTAGAATTACTGTAGTGCCTGATAAAATGGTAAATGTGCTATAAGAGATTCGTAGAGTTTTACGTTTCTGGTAGAATATAGGTTAGGTATACGTATTTACTGTGTATCATGTTAAAACGAAGTAAAAAGAGAGAGTCTGTAGATGCAATCTTACCAGAATGTTTCGTTTGGTATGAATTTTCGTAGTTGCTGGAAATACTAAAATCTTACATTTAAAAATAGTCGATCGTACCAATGAAATGCTACAACAGACGGCAATACTATGTGAAACGTCTAAACTGATGCATCGGTAAAGCAATCATGTTGTCCTTGTCAAAAAGAGGGAGACTCAGAATAAGAGCGCCGTGTTATCGACCGAACACAATTCTACGCCGCAGGTTGCCTCCAGTGATCCTCAGAGAAACAGTTTAATTCAATCAGTTTATATATTTTAGTATTATAATACTCGTACTAATATGTTTAATTAGTAGTATTTAGTATTATAATACTTATAATAAAAAAAATTTAAGAAGGAAAGAATAAAAGCATAATAAAACGTTAATATTTGTAAACTAACCTCTTTTGTTACATTCCTACAGAGGGATGGTAAGTCTCAGTAGCTAACAATGAAAATAAAAAGAGTGAAATCGGATTGTAAAAGAAATACAGGTTTTAGTTTCGAAGTATCTGACTGGTTAACTTGGTAACTGCACGAACCCTGATGTTTGTGCGCAGTTTCAGTTAAGCAGAATAGATTTGCGAACACGCTGAATGTCACGTCGGTCACCAGAGCTCGACTGTAAAATTTCTGTTAGGTCGCGCGTCGGTCATCGGTGACTGACAGTATTCCACATTATTACATTGTGAATAGTCTTTATTAAAATCGCACGATATTTCTATGTAATATGCAATGCAATAATATATGATTTATTGAAACATCTACAGTATACGCAATGAAGATTATATAACTAAATTGTCTTTCAGTAAATGGTTTAAAAAAATCTTTTAATTGATACATTGCTTTTTGACGAAGAAAAATTATATATATGCATTTTCTATGTAATAGTAATTAATACCAAATATGCAAAAGTTTTCAAAATTCTTTAGTAATATAATATACATATATAAGCTACACAAAACCTAACCTAATCTAATTGTAATTTTAACGATAAATTAACAGTGCATTTCACATATTTGCCTCTTTAAATTGAATTTCATCTGTAATTAATATTTTCTCTAATACATCCACGTAAATACATAAAGTCTTCCAACGTTTTTCCTCCGAACTGCATAGATGGAATACAAATAGACGCGTGGTGGCTCGATTGGTATTAGGGAAGGGAGGATTCGTTAGTCATCACAGCCGATTTCGGGCGCCCCCTACGAAAACCTTCAAGTGGACAAAGGAACGAGACACACGGAACAGTACGAGGATATAATGGACGTTGTCAAAGGCAAACGCGTTCGAGTCATATTTTCTTGGACCATTACCATTCGTTAAAGAGAACACAGAGGGCCACGTACATTTGTATTCCGTTAAGTTCAGCCGTCTTTTATATCCGCTAGAGTCAGGTACAGAAGAACGATTGTCTCCCTGCCGATTGTACATCCCCCTTTCTACCGAGATAGCTTTTTGTTTCTCCTACTACACGGATAAAACGTATAAATTTTAATAATGAACATTTATTCATCGATATTTTACATTATTGTACCTATAATGTATCATGGAAATGGAAATGATAGTGTTTTAACAATAATAGTGGAGATTATGTAGTGTTATATCTTGTGAAGTTGTGGAAATTATTTGTGATTTCTTATTTCAAGATTATCGTTACCCATTTTCATTGTATTCAACATTTCGGATTTTCTATTTTGAAGTTGGTGAATGGTTTTTTAATTGAAGGTTAAATTAACATTACAGATAGGAATATAATACATGTGTATTTCTTTATCTATTACAGCATTTAGTAAAGTGAAATATTATTTCAGGTATCTGGACAGGTACGAAAAGGTACACTTCCTGGGAGAGGATGGCCAACAAGCCGACGACGATGACGAGGATTCTAGACACAGAAAGTGGTCTGCTAGGGCATTACACTCTGTTCCTCTTACTTATAATCATCATCAGCACAATGTCGCAGGTAATTATCGCATCTCATTCTCCTGAAATTGGACTCTAGAGACTTTCATGATCCAGAAATTATTTTAATATATTGTAACTAATTAATACTGTTAGATTAAGTACACTTCTACAAACATAACCTCAAAAATTGGGTACAAGAATAGAAAAAAAGTAAAATAATAATTCTGATGTATTCAACAAATTTTACAAACTTAAAATTTCATACGTTCACTTATCTTTAACTCATTCCATAACTTCGCGTGATTTGGTATAACTCATTGATTATTCTTGTTTTATGGCTGTAGAAAAGAAAGTCTAATTCAGTTAAGACAGGTATTCTGAATGGTCATTATAATTACTTCATAAAGTAACACTATTTCAAAAAAACTTGTATAAAATAAACATTGATCAAGTTATCAAAAAGTGCATCCGAATTCCCCCAGTAAATGTATTGTCACCATTTTGTTCAAAATTAAACATCTTCCATTAACAGTATTATTAAAACAATCTACTATCAAACATTTCGATCGTATTTCCACGCTGACGAAATACATAAATGACCCGAAAGATGGCAGGGCTTATGCAGGGTCAGAATCTGTGCAATAGACCGTCCACTAGGCATTATTCGCATGAAGCGTAACGTATAAGTTCGACGCTCCCCCAAAAAACTCTGGACTAAAATATTAAACCTACATAATATCATTCCTCTACCTATATGATTCTTCTATCCATGGCGGATCGAATTCTTCGACCCGTCACCGTCGTGTGTTTCCAATCAAATTTTTGTCACGCGAAGCCCGCAGCTTTTGCCGGACCGACCGTTGAATTTACGATCGTTCTCGATAAACCGTTTTTGCCAACTTACGCCGTCGCGCATTTTGCATGCACGTCCACACGCTCGAACGACTTTCAAATACGTTTTCCACCGTGCATTGTTCCATTATTTTTCTCGCTCTTTCCAGCTACCGCTGACACATGCACACCTTCTCACCAGCATACGCGACACGTACAGGGTGTTCGCGTTATTACTAGCCAACGTTTCTTTCCTGGATAGTATATGTATACGTACGTGGAAAAAAAAAATTTGGTGGAAAAAGTTTCTCTATTTTTTTACGAGCAACGCAATTAGGTTATGTCACCTTGTTAAATTTGTGCTGGTTCTCGAGTAACGAATGAGACAACTTTTTTATGCGACGAAAGTGACTGATTTCAGTAAGATAATAATAAAATGTAGTTTAAATATAGTAACAGTACCAAAATCATATAAAGAAAAACCAGGTTGTGAAGACCCCGCGTAAAAGATTAAAAAGTACCATCGTTATTTAAAATTCACTGAAAATTTAAAGAAATAACTATCCTAACCTTAATTGTGTTACTAAAAAAAAGAAAACAAAAACTAGACCTTCTTCATATTTTCACCATTTACGAAAAAAAAAGAAAAAAAAAACGCTACTTAGAATATATACGAACACCCTGTATGTACCCACATGTGTTGACGCGTGTATACATGCCGAATGCTACGGTTCAATAATTCGCTACGTTAGCAATTTCCGTTTGTCAGAACTTTTTCGTCCAACGCCGTCGCCGCGGCCTAGTCATATTGACAAAAACGACCGCTACGTCGGCCAACAATGCGTTAGCGATGTAACAGGCTCTGCCGGTACGTTTAGGATGCACCGCTTACCGGTTATGCCCTAGAAAGGAGCACAGCCAGAGATATGTACGCGCCTATCGCCCGACACTAGTGGTTCTTTTGCTTTTACAACTGGTCGACTATCGGAAGCTTTCTCCGGGACAATTGAAAACTATGTCAGAGTAGCGGAAATTGGTCGAGAGAGGCTTTCAAGTATGTATTAATGGAAATACAAGGATAAACTTTCTTGAATATTCTTTCAAGGAGAAACACGGTAGTCCTAGAGTTAGTGTGACTTTTGTCCCTGTTTACTGTAATACTAGCTCTATCCCCACCATATTTGTGTCGCTTCGTTGGAGCGAGCCTTTGCACACGTGCGATTGATGTGAAGAACGAGACACGTAACCAAATTTAAAATCTTTTTCGATTTAACGATTAAAGTATTGATTTTTAACGAATTTTTCTCCATAGAATATAAAAAAAATCGTTTCGTCCAATCTTCAGAACAACGTATTTCACCGTTCCGCCTGATGTTCAATTATAAATTTCCCCTCGCGCGAAAAAGCGCTTCCTCGTGTAATTGCATCCTGCCCCAATTAGTTCCGAGCGCGCGCATTATCGTTCCGCGTTTCTCGGTAATTCGTTAACGACGATTTACGTATCGCCGTTAATCTCGGTCGAAATAATACGTTGCCTGCCCTGAGAGGGAGAGAGGGGTGGAGACAGAGGAGGAACTGGAATTGAAAAAAAGTTGCGTAAAACACGCACAGAGAGAACGAGAGAGTAGCGGGCGAATCGAACGCCAGTACCACTGGTCGTCGCTGAAGTGCGTCTGCGCGCGTGCTAGCAGGCAAGGGTGTTCGCTACTCGAGAATTGAGCCGAGTCGTGGAAACAGGTGAAAGCCCCGAAACTCGTTTCGCAAAAAAGTTAAGTGTGTTGCGAGCACATGTGCGCGCACCGCTATAAACGCAGCTATATATGCAGTATGTCGAGGCGGCAACGGGTTATTGACGTGCTTCTGTAGAGCTGTGTTGGGCGAGAGAGGCATATAGAGATAGAGAGCCAGTCTGGTTGGGAACAAATACGTACGTGTACACGATACCGACTATATAGATATATACACGTGTTCTGCGTGTGTTGCATACATGTACACATACAGCAGATTCGCAAGGCCTGTGTGTCACGGAGTGAGAGTAGAACGCGCACAACGTGTGCAAGATAATTTAATGGGCAATAATCATGACACACATAGAACCGCGCATACACCTCCGTGGCCGCGCTTCGACTGCCGGAACGCGGGTCTATATTTCGTGCGCATGCGTACGATCGACTGGCAGCTTTGCACCGAACTGCTCGCCCCCTACTCTTTCCGCCGTCTTCGCGCTTCTTTGTCGAACTCCCACTATTCTTTGCACTCTTTCTTTCTTGCTCCTCCACGCCTACTTCTCAAACGACACGGCGGACCGGGTACGTACGGTCGGGTGCTGAACGTTCGGTAACTTAGCACTTTCGGTCGCTTCAACACAACGTCGACTCGATTTGCTGAAACTCGGGATTGACCTGACACGGACACACATGACGTTTACTCACTTACTCGGTGGATTCGCTCAAATGCTATACGCTGCTTTTTGGATCAGCAGGGAGAGATCGTTACTTTCTTACCAGCTTAGATGTGTATACATCTAACTCTCGATTTACACGGTTTATTGTTATCGAGTAAATATACGAAGACTACTTTTTTACAAAAGTAAAAAGTATGTGAAAAACCATATTAAAATAAAACAGAATCGTGTAAAATATTTTCTTACTATTTTCCGACCGTATTAAACAGAAGCCGCGAGTATCGCGTTACGTATATGCCAGGGAAGTGAATTTCCATGTTGCTATTGTTAATTTTTCAAGGATCCGTTTTCTGAATGATCATTTACATACACGTTGCGTAGATTCTTCTCGATTGACGTCTTACTTTTAACACTGCAAAAACAATGTGCATTGTGTTAGTTCGTTGTACACGTTATGCAAGATAAAATACATTACTACGTAACCAATTGAACTATAAAAAAACTTCAACCTTTTTACAATGTCATATTCGTCTCGTACTCGATTGATGTAGTCATTGGACATTCATTCCAACACTATGTATATACTATTAAATATTGCATGTTTTTAGGTTGGGTAGTTATTTATCGCTTATGATTTTTTTTTATGCATTGTAGCATCACTTTTTAAAGTCAGCGCAGCCATGGTGGTGTGATTTCGCGATGAAATAATGGGCGTGTGCACTGCAAAATCGATGGCCCGCGTTTAAGGAGCGTATATCTGTACAAAGTCCTATCTTGTTCGGGGCGCTGCATGCGCGCGTTCATGCGTAACATTATATCGAGGTGTCGAAGTTTGCGTGACGCGCCCACTAAACCGTCGTTCGTTAAGCATTCGCAACGCGTAGTCATTGAATTGAACTTCGACGCCGCTGCGCCCGGGTTCACCGACGCTTCGTTCACGCTTCCGTTTCTTCTGCGTCGAGTTAATTCGACAAAAAACCGATTCACCACGTTCACGGTATGACATTTATGAAGAATATATCGATCGATGGAATGTCATTTTTTTACAAAATTTGTTTAAATTACGTCTTTCAATAATTATTTAATTTTTACAACAAATAATTGGCAATCAAAAGAATGAATATATATATATATATATTGCTATAATAATGTATATGATGTATATGTTAGGTTGTTAGATAGATAAAATGAACATTTTTCTATTTAGCAATACTTATTACGAAATAGACGTTTGAACAGAGTAGAAAATATTTCAAGGCTACAGCGACGCGTTAGCATATAAAAAAGAGCAAACATAATTTAACAACATGGAGGAAATTTAAATCTCAAAAGTTAGGAGGAACAAAGACAGTCGAAATGCTAATTATGCGTCCCACAGTAGAATCATGTTTACTCACATTAAAATTCATCGCGTCACTTAAATTCCCCTTACCAAAATTCAACGCCTAATCTAACTTTCCTCGAAACTCGACACTCTCACTCAAACT